AATTTGTGGTTCAGGTGCCTATAACTCTTGTGCCAAAGGTTTGTTGTGTCCCATTCGTCAACCTTTAAACATCTATCCAAAAGAGGCTTCATAACAGCCGACACTGCAAGCATTCAGTTCATCATTTATCCTTGAGTTTGAATCAAACCTCTTCGAGAATGGTAGATTCTGCATGCACCATCTTCAATTACAAAAGTTACACTATTTTCTTGTAGTTGTCCAACGCTTAACAAATTGTTAGTTAACTCAGGATCAAAAAATACATATGTTATTGTTTGGGTTATACCCTCAACCTCAAACCTGATGTTTTCCTTTCCCGTAACAGCTAACCTAGAACTATCGCCCAATTTTACTGTGTTTGAAACCTTCATCAATGTCAACAAACTAGTCTTTGTTGCCCATCATATGGTTCAAACAACCAGAGTCAAGAAACCATATTTCCTTGTTATCGTTCCCGTCAATTTCTGCCATAGGCCATTAAAAGCAATTCTTCACCTTCATCGAACTCGACGTAGTTTGCACCCCTTTCAAGAATGGGACCCTCACAGTAAAAATGTCGTAACTTATGACACTGGTAGCATTCAATGGTCGATCTAAACTCTGGTCATGTTCTTCCTCTTCCTCTTCTCCTTGAACTGCTACTGCCACCTCCTCTTGCAAAACTGCCCCTTCCTCTACCTTGTCCCAAGTTGGGATTATACTCAACTTTTAATATTTGTTCTTCGTCACCTTTATGTCGCACTTTCTGCTCATGCAACAATAAAGAACTTTGTAACTCATCGAGCATTAATTGATCAAAGTCCTTGGACTCTTCAATCGAACAAACAACAAAGTTGAAATTCTCTGTTAATGTTCGAAGTATTTTTTTCAACGATTTTGACATCGTCCATGTCCTCTCCACAATATCTCATATCATTTGTTGTGACCATTACTCTTCCATCTTCATCTCCAAGGTTTCGAACTCCCTTCGAAGCCTCTGCAACTGAGCCGCCTCGCACTTGTGTTTCCTTGGTACTTCACTTTCATCATATCCCATAGTTGTTTTACAGTCTTCTTCTGAGTAATAGTCTTCAATATGGATTTGCCAATGGCCTGGAATAGATAATTCCTTCCCTTAAGGTTTTTGAGTTTTGGTTCATCCAATGCTTTCTGTTGTGCTGCTGGCAGTTGTACTCCAACTTTGGGTTCCTTGTAGCCCACTTCAATCACACACCAATATTCTTTTGAGTGAAGAAAATTCTCCATTAACAAGCTTCAATGATTGTAGTCCCCATCAAACATGGGCACATCTGGGGTTTGAAATTTTTTTGACTCAGCCACCATCTCTCACACACACTCGTGTTTCACTCCTTGAACTCTCACTTGTTTTAGTTACCCACTTCTTGGCCTCTTGTATTCGCTCTGATACTAATTGGCAGAACAAAGATAACTCAAGAGACAGAACAGAAGTAAGTTTGCTATGAGCTCCCAAAACGTAGTGATAGATGATATTCAAAAGAAAGGACGGCTTTAAATAGCCTACACAAGAAACAAAAAGCAGAAAATATAGGAAGAAAATCAGGAAATAGATTCTACCAGACTAAGAAAAATTCAAAACAAAAAAGCTACTGCAAATCGACTAGGTTTTATAACCTATTATCACGAAAAGACTAATTCTCTGATGACCACTTCCAATCAGAAACTTTAGGTATATAAAGTTAAGGGCATTAATTATCAGAATCCATCCATTATGTAAAACAAAATAAGAACCGTTGATTTACTTAATGCGATTTAAGAGATCAAACCCGAAATATATCAAGCATGAAGCATGTACTTAGGGGCCGTTTACCAAATACTTACCCGATAAGTGCTTATCAATAAAATTTAACACTATTATTTACTTACCAGGTAAGATTTTAGTCCACCAAAACGACATCACATGCAACAATTTACCCGGTAAGTGCTTACCGTGGTAAGAGTCATCGCCTTCACTTATCGGGTAAGACTTTTGGTCCTTCTCTCGCTCTTTCCGGGTAAAATTTTTGGTCCTTACCATATTCATCCGATTAGGTAATGTGACTTGATAAACACTTATCCGAATAAACATTTGGTAAACGCCCCTTTAATTTAATTATTCTAGGATTAATTTGTTTAATAAATATTGTTATATGAATCATGTCATTTTGGAAAAATACAAAAACGAAAGGTTGGATGACTCAACGGTGGGTAATATTTGTTGTGTTTTTGGAAATATTTATATTAACGGCTATTAATTTTTCCATTTGATTTGTTTGTTTTTTTTCCAAAATTAAATTTGTCCAATTATGCATTATTTAAATAATGAACTAGTATTCTAATATGTTTGGAAAACAACCACTATCATTGCATTTTCAAAATGGAAATAATATTATTTTATTATTTACAGAAATTAAATTAATTATAATAATAAATTTTCTTATCTATATTATATTATAAAGCATTTGGCTAAAACTCTTAAAAAACATTTTTTATGCACAAAGTACTGTTTATTGATGCATATCTATACTATATTATAAAGCATTTGACAAAAACTTTTAAAAACAATTTTTTATGCATGAATTCGTGTAACTAACTGCGGATAAATATAATCAAATAGAGAATAAACATATCATTTTAAAATATAAAAAATATAAAATATAATTAAAATAATTATCGAGTTCTAACAAAATAATTAATTATTATCTTTAAAAAAATTATATTGTTAAACCAAATATAAATTATTTCGTTATTAAACCTAAATTAAAATTATAATAAACAAATTGAATTAAAAAATTACACAAAAAAATAGGAATTTTAAATAGTTAATTTGATACTAATATCGATATATTTTTGTCAAATTTATATTTTATTCCAAAATAAAAACATTATCGTTTTTTCAAAATAACATAAGACCATATTATAACGTCGATTGAGATAAAGAATAAAATGAAATATTAAAATCAAGATGTATCTCACTGCATTGTACGAGTACCATTCTAGTTACTTAAAATTCAAGATTACAAGTAAATTGTGCGTAAGTACAATTTATTAAAGCTCCGTATTTGAATTTATGTAACTAACTGCAGATAAAAATAATCAAATACAAGATAAACATCTAATTTTAAATATAAAAAATAAAAATATAATTAGGATAATTATTGAGTTATAACTGAATACTTGATTATTATCTTTATAAAAAAATTATATTATTAAATCTAAACTAAATTACTTCGTTACTAAACATAAATTAGATTAAAATAAAAAAAATTGAATTAAAGAAATTACACAAAAAACAATAACTTTTAAATAGTTAATTTGATACTAATATCAATATTTATTTTTTCAAATTTTTATGATATCTTCAAATTTATATTTTATACAAAAAATAAAAACATTACCCCTTTCGCAAAACCATATAAAACCGTATTATATCAACATAAAAAAAATAACAAAACAAACCATTAAAATCGAAATAAGTCTCGATACATTGCACGAATACCCTTCTAATGTTATAAAAATAATAAACATTTTTAAAATTAAATTGATCAGAATAACAAAAACTTCAATCCAACTACAGTAAACTAATTATAGCACAAATAAATACCAGTATTTCAACTGTTAAAATACGGTATCAAGATATGTTCAAAACATAAAATAAAAAAACCACATCTTGTGCTTATAATTATAATTATGCATCTGGAGGTTTCATGTTCGAATTCAAAAAGAAATAAAAAGTCCATTTGTAGACAAAGATATTCAAATGTGGTGACTCCAAGCTACCTGTAAAACGGATGGTCACCCTAAAATTAATCGGTTTGTATAACGGGTAGAAATTATTTATGAAATTATATATTTATATAAAAAAATATCTAAATTACTTTAACTTTAATGATTAGAAATAAAGCACAAATAAAAATTATATAGCTTTTTTGTAAGTCACAAGTTGACACCCCACTAAAACTCTATCAACCTTGGTCGACAATAAATCGAAATAGCCGCCCAACTCTATTTGTCTTTTTTCTATTAATAAATTAAAATTACCACCATAATTTTTTATAATAACAACAAGAATATTCGCACAATACAGCGAGACACATCTCGATTTTAATGTTTAATTTTATTATTTGTCTATATCGATATTATAATACGAGTTTATGTGTTTTTAAGAAAGCAATAATGATTTTATTTTTGAAAAAAATATAAATTTGAAGATATCATAAAATTTTGAAAAAAAATATCAATGTTAATATCAAATCAACTATTTAAAAGTTCTAATTTTTTATGTAATTTCTTTAATTTATTTTTTATTATAATTTAATTTAAGTTTAATAACGAAATAATTTATTTTTGGTTTAATAATATAACATTTTATAAAGATAATAATTAAGTATTCTGTTAGAACTCAATGATTATCTTAATTATAGATTTTTTATATTTAAAATAAGATATTTATCTTGTGTTTGATTATATTTATCTGCAGTTAGTTACACGAATTCAGATATATAGTTTTAATAAGTTGTACTTACGCACAATCTACTTGTAATATTGAGTTTTACGTAATATGCATTAATAAACAATATTTTACACATAAAAAATGATTTTTAAGAGTTTTTGTCAAATGATTTATAATATAGTATAGATAATTAATGATATCATTATACTGATAATTTTAACAAAGATCTAAAATCTTACCTGGTAAAAGACATAGCAAAGACCGAAAATATTACCTAGTAAGTGAGAGAAAAACTATTAAACGGTGAATGTTCGAAGATTAAAAGATACTTACCAACAATTTATTTTAACAGTTAACAATTTTACCCCGATAAAATAAATAAGAATGGTGTTATTGCTTTAATTACTTATATATATTTGAAAATTTTGATCATTAAAAATAAAATTTATGTCATTGGGGCCCACAACTTCCAAGAAACCATAAGCTTCCATAGTTCTATAAAAACCCTACACAGACTCTACAAACTTATAAAGTGTGTAAAGAAGAAGCTTCGTGGCCACCAATGGCTTCTTCCACCACCCCTCTGATTACTCCTCATGACCTCGAACGCCGGCCGGAATCCACCGGATCTCCGTCCGGTGGGTCAACCACCGGCAAGGTCCTCGCTGGTTTGTTGGTTTCCATGCTGGTCCTTTCATCTTTGGTCGCTGTAATTCATAACCAGTTACAAAAACCAGAAGGAAGTTCAGGATCACCGGAGATTGAGGTGAAACCGTCGTCAAGAGGGGTGGGGTGGCCGGAAAAGATGGTGGGTGCGGCTGACAGCGTTGAATGGCAACGATCTGCTTACCATTTTCAGCCTGATAAGAACTTCATCAGTGGTATGTAATGTATTTGCAGCCATAATTTTGTAGTTTAATTTAATTAATGGAATTAAACTATTTACTAATTAATTTTTTTTTATTGAATTTGTTTATGGATGATTTTGCGGAACTTCACTACAGACCCTGATGGTACGTATTTTCCTTTTATGAAATGTTGAATTTTGTGAGACAAAGCGGTTGTTTGTTTACCTCTTAATAGTTTCATTAAAAGACAGATTTTGAATCGTTAAGAGATGAATCTTGTTAGGCAAAAAAAAGTCTGCCTCTTAGTGGTTCTAAAATACTCTGAATGATTTTGTATCTCGGGTCTCCCTTAACCATTAAGCGCCATGATTTTATTGTAAACAATTATATTTCATTTTGTACTATATCATGAGAGCCTCTTAATCATTCTGATCACTTAATCATTCTGCATCGAACTATTCAGCAACTGTCAAACAACCCCTAAGTATTTTGAATTTTTATGGTGCAGAAATATTAGATAATTTTAATTGTATTAAATATCCATATCATAAGGAGCTCCATTAAATATTTTGAGAATTTAAAAACCAGTATTTATGATAAATGACGTGATAAAGTATTTATAATTAACATTATAACATATATATATATATATATATATATAATTGATAAATAGGGTTGGATTTACGTGAGACTAGCCTGTTTTCGTGATATCACTTTTTAACACTTGAACTTCACAGCAAAGGCTGCGAAGTTAAAAAAAAATCGAATTTTCACAGCAAAACACTGTGAATGTTACTTTCACAACATTTTGCTGTGAAATTTCAAGTATAAAAAAATGGTCTCACGAAAACAAACTGTTCTCACGTTAACCCGAGTCTTGATAAATAATATTCTATCCTTAAATATTCACAAAATAAATGGTTTCCAGATTTTTAAATAGAACTACCACCGGAAAAAAAAATCACCGGCGCCCCTTTTTCCGGCGGCCAAATCCGCCGGAAATCCCTTTTTCCGGCGGATTTGGCCGCCGGAAAAAGTGGGTTTTTTGGTAGTGAGAGGACGCTCTCAATTTCTAAAGCGTCCTAAAAGACCTCTTTATAAGTCTTAGTTTATAGGACAAAAAAAATAAAACGCCATATCTAAAGGCGTTGTAATAAGTTTATATGACGTTTTTTGACGTCGTAATAAGTTTTTTAGGACACTTTTAATATAAAGCGTCTCATTAGCAACTTTATAGGACACTATTTCAAAAACTGTCATATAAAAATAAATGTACTATAAAAATTTGAGTTTATAGGACACTTCCTTAAAAGTGTCCTATGAAGTTATTAATGCGACACTTTGTATTAAAATATCCTAAAAACTTGTTAAGACGCTCAAAAGCGTCATATAAACTTATTACAACACCTTTAGATATGACATTTTATATTTTGTATCTATAAATTAAATTCTAGAAAACGGTCTATTGGAGTGTACAACATCTAATCAAATACTAAAAAAAGGTTCCCATATTTGAGACTCTTATGGTCATCTTAATGATTATTTATTTGTATAAAGTATAATCATACTAAGAGCATCTTCGATAGGAGGTTGTTATTTTTGTATATTTTTTATTGTCACGTTATTTTCAACTTATCAAATTAAGAATCTAAATAAAATTATACAATCAAGTCTTTAAGAACCTCTTTTGTAAGTCCATGATATATATATATAACATAACTCATTACCTCCCTTTGAACATAAATCATGGTTCTGATACCATTTGTTGCAAGATCGGTCATTATGTCATTATAATTAATTATAATAGAAATATATAAGTGATGTAGTAATGAAAAGGCAAGCAAAATTATGAAAAGATACCGTTATTGATCAAACAATCTTGAATACATTTGTCGTTAAGACAATTTGAACATACATCTGGAACAATGATAAGATTGAAATCTAAAGATTTTGAACATTGAGAAGTAGAAAATTTGAGAGAAGGTTGTTTAGACATAACATTTTATCTAAGGGTTTTTTTTTATTAGGGTTTTTTCGGATGCCTTTGAATGAAAACTTCTATTTCCTTTTATAGATAGATTCTTGAATAAATGAGCGGCACGTTCCTTCATTTTGAGCAATTATTGGATATTTTAGACTTGGAAATCGGTTGAAGAGCCATCTATTATTGCACTTTGAGAGCCATTTATAATTGTACTGACATATGGAATCTTTTGACTCTAATGTCTCTTTGGGAATAGTAAATGCCATATAGTCTTCTTTTGAATAGGAAATGGCATATGAAAAACTCTTTTTGCTTTAATGGCTTTTTCTTGAATAGTAAACCTGCAATTATTTGATAAGATAACAATTTTGAACATGATGTTGTCTGAAATACCAAAGAGTGTATTTAATATATTTTGATAAGATATATTTTAATAAGATACAAAGAATTGCTTACAAAAGCAATAACCCAACACACACAAAACTCTTGAAGATTAAAGATCTTTATAGGGATCTTGAGCATCTTGATATAGATTTTGAGAAATTTCTGAAATGGTGTTTGAACTTGAAGGAGAGCTTTCTTGTTTGATTTCTTGAACAAGTCTTTTAAGCTCTTCTCTTGAATCAACAGCCAAAAATTGATTAATTTCGTCATTTTCTTTATTTTGGCTTGATGGTGATACAATGGAAGCCGGAGCATCAAAAGTGATTGAATAATAGTCAGAACTCCTTGAATAGTCATCTTCTGCAATTGATCTTTAGGAAGTTTTTCCCACCATTTTACTCTAGTAATTCTTTGTAATAATGGAGGAGAAGAACTATTTGCAGCAACGACCTTAAAGGTCCATGACAAGATCCATTGTATTTTGAACAATACTGTAAATTGGAGAAGATACTCAAACTCTATGACTTCTTGAACAAAGATTTCTTTAAACTTTAAGGGTAAATGAAGAAGTCACAGAGTTTGAGTATCTTATCAAAATACTTTAAGATTTCTTTAAACTTCTTAAACCCTTCATTTACCCTTAAAGTTTAAAGAAATCTTTGTTCAAGAAGTCACAGAGTTTGAGTATCTTCTCCAATTTACAGTATTGTTCAAAATACCATGGATCTTGTCATGGACCTTTAAGGTCGTTGCTGCAAATAGGTCTTCTCCTCCATTATTACAAAGAATTACTAGAGTAAAATGGTGGGAAAAACTTCCTAAAGATCAATTGCAGAAGATGACTATTCAAGGAGTTCTCAACTATTATTCAATCACTTTTGATGCTCCGACTTCCATTGCATCACCATCAAGCCAAAATAAAGAAGATGACAAAGTTAATCAATTTTTGGCTGCTGATTCAAGAGAAGAGCTTAAAAGACTTATTCAAGAAATCAAACAAGAAAGCTCTCCTTCAAGTTCAAACACCATCTCAGAAATTTCTCAAAATCTATATCAAGATGCTCAAGATCCCTATGAAGATCTTTAATCTTCAAGAGTTGTGTGTGTTTGGGTTATTGCTTTTGTAAGCAATTCTTTGTATCTTATCAAAATATATCTTATCAAAACATATGAAATACACTCTTTGGTATTTCAGACAACATCTTGTTCAAAATTGTTATCTTATCAAATAATTGCAGGTTTACTATTCAAGAAAAAGACGTTAAAGCAAAAGGAGTTTTTCATATGCCATTTCCTATTCAAAAGAAAACTATATAGCATTTACTATTCTCGAAGAGACGTTAGAGTCAAAAGATTCCATATGTCAGTACAATTATAGATTGCTCTTAAAGTGCAATAATAGATGGCTCTTCAACCGGTTTCCAAGTCAAAAATATCCAATAATTGCTCAAAATGAAGGAAACGTGCCGGTCATTTATTCAAGAATCTATCTATAAAAGGAAATAAAAGTTCTCATTCAAAGGCACCCGAAAAAACCCTAATCACAAAAAAAACCCTTAGATAGATTGTTATGTCTAAACAACTTTCTCTCAAATTTTCTACTTCTCAATGTTCAAAATCTTTAGATTTCAATCTTATCATTGCTCTAGATGTATGTTCAAATTGTCTCAACGACAAATGTATTTAAGATTGTTTGATCAATAAAGGTATTTTTTCATAATTTTGCTTACCTTTTCATTACTATATCACTTATATATTTCTATTATAATTATAATGACATAACTATAATAACATAATGACCGATCTTGCAACGAATGGTATCAAAGCCATGATTTATGTTCAAAGAGAGGTAATGAGTTATGTTATTTATATTAATATATATATAAAACTATCAAAATGTCTTTTTACACCAAGTTCAAGATAACAATCAAGATTCTTGTACAAAAATCAAAGAATATAAGATTCTTACAAGAAACTTTCACTTTTTGTTTATAAGAACTCTTTTTGACGATAGTTCTTATAAAAACCTTCACTTTTTATATATAAGAACCTTATATTCATAATGCTTTAAGGATGTGTTTGGGATCGCTTATAAAAATAACTATTGACTTATTACGATGTAACACCAATAATAAACACTTTTGATTATTTAGATAAACAGCTTGTATCAATGTCAAATTGGTAATAATTTGAAACATGAATTTGGTTGAAAATGAAGTGTGTAATTTGGCAACTCAACTGAGTGAAATATTGGAATGAATGGCAGGTCCATTATATCACATGGGTTGGTACCATTTATTCTACCAGTACAATCCTGAATCAGCCATTTGGGGAAACATCACATGGGGTCACGCCGTCTCCAAGGATCTCATCAACTGGTTCCACCTCCCATTAGCCATGGTTCCCGATCACTGGTACGACATCCAAGGCGTCATGACTGGTTCCGCCACCATCCTTCCCGACGGCCAAATCATCATGTTATACAGCGGCAATGCCTACGATCTCTCTCAGCTCCAATGTCTCGCTTATCCCGTCAATTCCTCCGATCCCCTTCTCCTCCACTGGACCAAATACTCCAGCAACCCCATCCTCTTCCCTCCTCCCGGCGTCGGTCTCAAAGACTTCCGAGATCCGTCAACTCTGTGGGTCGGACTCGACGGTAAGTACCGAATGGTTATGGGATCCAAGCACAACGACACCATCGGTTGTGCCCTAGTTTACCACACCACCAATTTCACCCATTTCGAGCTGTTGGATGAGGTGCTCCATTCGGTTCCGGGTACGGGTATGTGGGAATGTGTGGATCTTTACCCGGTATCCACCACCGATACAAACGGGTTGGATATGTCGTATCATGGGTCAGGTGTTAAGCACGTGCTGAAACAAAGTGGGGATGAAGATAGGCATGATTGGTACGCGATCGGGTCGTATGACCCGGTTAAGGATAAATGGTATCCGGACGATCCGGAAATGGATGTGGGTATCGGGTTAAGATATGATTATGGAAAGTTTTACGCATCGAAGACCTTTTATGACCCGAGTAAGAAAAGACGGGTCTTATGGGGTTATGTTGGAGAAACGGATCCTCCGAAAGATGACCTCATTAAAGGATGGGCAAATATTTTGGTATATAAAAAATTAAATTATAATTGTTTTTTTAATAAAATAATCATCGATTTTTTCAATATAAAAGAGAAAATAATTGGTTTTTGGAGGATAAAAATGTCAAATATTTATTTACAGAACGTTCCAAGAACCGTGGTGTTGGACACGAAGACGGGAAGCAATTTGATTCAATGGCCCGTTGAGGAAACAGAGACGTTGAGGTCTAAAAAGCATGAATTTAAAGATGTCATGTTGCATCCTGGATCATTCATCCCGCTTGATGTAGGCATGGCCACACAGGTGATAATGCCTGTTTTCCTTTGATGGGTATCGTTTAATAAAGTATGACGATATAACTGATAAACTAGTCATTTTTGATAAAAACCGACTAATAAACTAAATAACAATGTGAAATGAACTATGACCTTAGTGGTGATATGAACTTGCATTATATTGGCCAATGGTTACAGTTAGATATAAGTGCCTCATTCGAGGTTGACAACGAGATGTTGGGTGCAACCCTAGAAGCCGATGTTCTGTTCAACTGCACCACAAGCGAGGGTTCAGCCACGAGGGGTGTTTTGGGACCGTTTGGGCTTGTGGTTCTAGCCGATGCAGCACTTTCCGAGCAGACTCCTGTGTATTTCTACATCGCGAAAAACATCGATGGCACCTCAAGAACTTACTTTTGTGCTGATGAATCAAGGTTGTTTATTAGCTTCTTTTTTTTATTCTCCCGTTTTTGCCCTTCTTTCAATTTACTCAATTCAACTTGATGCAGATCATCAAAGCTTTTAGATGTGGGCAAAATGGTATATGGCAGCAGTGTTCCTGTACTCCATGGTGAAAACTACAACATGAGGTTACTGGTACGTAAAATCTCTAGAACTCGGGTTTTGAAAACGAAACTAAGGGGGAATTTGGTACGCAAAAAGGCATGACATGGATAGTTCAGTAATTTACCAATTTTGTCTCATCTCTCTGACTTTTGTTCCACCAATTTTGGTAAAACAAAAGAAAATGTCTTTTTGTCTTGGTCTAATGTCATGCCAAACATGGGACAACAACTTTTTGTTCAGTCTTGTCCCGTTCTGTCCTGCATACCAAATTCACATGAATGTGTACCTGTAACGATACACATGTTCATAAATACTTACATATGTGTGTATGTATTATACCAATGAATGCAGGTGGACCATTCAATAGTAGAAAGCTTTGCACAAGGAGGAAGAACAGTGATAACATCAAGAGTGTATCCTACAAAGGCAATCTATGAAGCAGCCAAACTATTCTTGTTCAACAATGCCACTGGCATCAGTGTTAAGGCATCTCTCAAGATATGGAAGATGGGTGGGGCACAACTTAACCCTTTCCCTCTTTAGATGGGTTCAGTTTTTGGGCAATCAATGGGTTCACCAGGGGCATTTGTGGTAATTTGCTAAGCTTCTTGTAGTAGGTGTAAGCATATAAATTCGATTATTCATGTTTTCTTGTCTCAAATGTATTTCGGTAGTTTGCGTATTTCACAAATTTGACAAACGTAGCATTTAGGACATCATAGGGCACCGTCACCTCTTATGACTTGATAAAACGCATATCTGCTAGGCAAACAAACCAAACGAATACAATATATCCCACGTGAAAGTGGAGTCCTGGGGGTAAGATGTATGCAGATCTGACTTCTACCGTAAAAGGAGTAAAGCAGTTGTTTCCTAGAAGACCATTGTTAGCGAGAAGTGTGTGAAAATGAAAAAAAAAAAAAAACAAATAAGCTAAGATTCTTCAATGATGATTTGCTTTACTAAAACTATGCAATGATACTTGAGAAACATAGGTTTGTCACCTGATCGACCTCCATGCAACTAGCATAAACGGTTTATTTGTGGCGTTTAGTCGAACACCTTGCAGTCATCTCCAATAAGGATGATCCTATGTACATAATAACACGAGCAGCCCCCACAAACATATCTAAATTAGACCCAGTTCTTGTGATGACAGGATGAACTGGTTTTCTGAATTAAAGCAACAAATTAGGACTAAACCAAGCTCTTGTAACTATAGGATGAGCCAGTTTTCCTAGGAAAGACGACGATAAGTAACTGCAACAAAGGAAGAAATGATGTTTTCTAAAAAAGGGAACAATTTGGAATGACACTCAGATGTTGTAATGATGGGATGGATCAAATTTCCTTTGAAAGGCAATAACTTTGAATCAAACCCATTTCTTTGATATGACAGGATGAACTAGTTTTCTTAGGAAAGGCGATGAATTAGAATCAAATCAAACCCTGTTCTTGTAATGCTAGCATGAACCAGTTCTGCTACTAAAGGCAACAATTTGGAATCAAACCCAATTCTTGAACTGTTAATAGTCTCATGTCAGCTAGATTTGAACCATTTCTCCTCTATATATGTTGGAACCTCCGTTCTCTTTCTTCAAGGACTCTTTTGGAACATAATTTAATGGGGTTCCACATATTGTAGAGTGAAGGTCTACCACTCTAAGGACTCGACACTCGGGGCAATTTGTACTCTTCTAGCTCCTCACTGGTCTACCCCCTCTCGACACTTTGGGATAATCTATGCACGTCTAGCCTTTGTTGGAGGGGACATGTTAGAGTCTTACATTGGCTATACTTGTATCATTTCTCCTCGATATATGTTGGAACGTCCCTTACTCTTTTCAAGGGCTGTTACCTAATTGGGGTTCCACATATTCTCACAGTAACAATGGGATTAACTAGTTTTCCTAAGATAGGCACCGATGAGAGTGTAACAATTCCATTAAATTCAATTCTTGCAAACGAGTGAATTGAATTCCAACGAACACTAAAATACAAGCTCTAAAAATGCAGACAGTTTGCACAACAGATAATGTCAAAGCATTATTGAACTGTATAGTATTAATCAATCTATTGTGATAAGAACTTGCTGTAGTTAACACATATTTTCTTGTGCTGCACATGTAAATTCCCAGAAAAAATCTAAAGAAAGAAAGGAATGACAAATTTGATATGGAACTTGAGGAAATTGTTGTTCATTTACAAAACAACAATTTTGAATAGTTTTCGAAAACCTTTCGTTGGGGGATCGAAAGGTTTTACCTTTTTCGGAACAATTACTCCATCTTCCGGTAGTCATATCAGCACTCCACTCCATACCCTTATCTCATTCCTACTCTAATGTCTCGACATATTCTTGATTCAAATCTATGAACAATCTGCGCTCTACACCTGAGGAATGTGATGATGAATCATCAGAAGTTCTTTGTGATGCCAACGACTCGATTGTTGGTCTGTGAAATGCTGATGACTCGTCAGATATTCTATGAGATGCTGATGACTCGTTGGAAATTACGTTAGTGTTAGATGTCGAAACAACACTGGGAGGTTGACCTGTAAATAGCATAATCTGTTCAACTGAAGAACTTTGTTCTTCTTTTTTAGAGATATCTTGAACTGGTTTGGGGGTGCGTTTTTTCAGGTGGGTGTGCCAATGGTTTTTGATCTCGTTATCGCTTCTTCCTGGTAATTTTGCAGCAATGGCTGACCATCTGCAAAACAACACAGAAATCTTTATATGCATAACGAAAACAATTCAGACAAATTCAAATATTTTGACCAAAGTCTAACACATCCTTATGCCATCTGACTTAACGAAACCCTAAGATAAAGGCCTTAACATTGATTTATTCGAATATGATTTCAGAGGTCAAATTAGGATTGGATCACGTACTTGTTTCCCATATCCTTATGATATTTCTCGATTAGGTCTTCTTCTTCTTTACTGAAATTCCCGCGTTTCACGGTCGGTCGAAGATAATTCATCCAACGCAATCTACAACTCTTGCCACATCTAGCTAACCCTAATTAAAACAAAAATCAAATAACAGCAATTCGATCAGAAACTCAAAATTAAACATCAACAATTTAGCAAATTCATCAATTACACAAGATAATAATAGAAACACAAACAAAACATCAGATTGAACTCCATTTTAGTTTTACAGTGAGCCCTGATTGAAATCACCACACCAATTTCTCCTCCATTTTCCACGAATCAAACAGTTCTCCGTTCAGAATAAACAAATCCTTGGAACTCAAAGAGATATGAACAACAGTGATGGATGAAAACGGATCATACCGGCATATTTGGGAAGTTCACGCCAATTCCAATGGCCATATCGGTGAACATAAGCTCTTAATTGATCATCTTCTTCTTCGCTCCAAGCCCCTTTCTTGATCCCATTTTTGTCAACGCAAGGTGCTCTCACCATTGTTATCCAGATCTCTCTTTGACTCTCTCCCTCTGTGGCACTGTTTCTCTCTCCTCAGCTGCCATGGTGATGAGTTCAAAGTCTAAAGGTTAGTTAGCAATCAACATCCATTATTTTAATGGAGATATTTACACTCTAACCACCTCATTTACGTCTCAAACTTATAAAACACCCCTTAGTTTTGTTAGATTGACAATATCAGTCCTCACTTTGGGAAATATGTGGCGGCTTTCCTTGCCAACTTCTCAATCCCAATGGACAAATCGTTTGTCTCTTGATAAATAATTATTTATTTATATTATTTTTATCATTAATTTTTTCATAAAATAACGTTAAACTTATCAAACTTTGTATATGATATTGGGATACTAAAATGGTAACCCACTACCTATACAAACATATAATACTTCTTAAAATTATATTTTAACCAATAAATAAATAAAAATTTATTTTTTAAATAAAAAATCACATACCTTAGGGACAGACCCAAGAATTTTTGATATGGTAACACCACATAAAACGGTTGTACCTTCTAAAACAAAACGGTTGCATCTTTCACCAACCTAATTTTTTTACCTTACCACGGAGAAACAATAGGGTGACACGTACCACCCCAACCACCCCCTCTGGGTCAGTCCCTACATACCTATTAAATATTAATGACTCCATTATAATTGAAGTTAACTTTAGGGTTGGTGAAATTGAATTGATATTTTCAAATCCCTTTAGGCCAAAAAACCTTTTTCGCAATGTCGACACAAAATAAATAAATAAATTAATTAAGTCAAACGAATTATATTCTTTATAGTTTTTGTTCTTTTTGTTTCAATATAATAAACTTTTTTTTGTTTTTAGTTATCTTTAAAATATTCCAAATTAAAATAATAATCACACAGTTGACTGATACTTGTTACCCATTTCATATTTGTAAGAAACAACTTACTGATATTTTGCTTCATTCATATATTCCAGATGTTTTTCATATTTCAATGTGTTTAATCAAAATATTTTACATGGCATATCTTATCAGGTGAGAACAATGTATATGTTATTAAAAAATAATGTCAATTACTGACTGTTATCATATACTAAAAGAAAACATTTTAACCTAACATGAAATACATGCATGACTAGTAATGTACCAGATTTTACATAAACCAGCCCCAGACCATGTATGGGGGCTGACGTCTGCCCAGCCCCGAAGGCACCCCTCTTTTTCAAAAGGATTCGCGGCATGTCAAGCCCTGGTAAGGTTTATTTGCTTATTATGGAGGAATATTTTGGGTACCAACTTATGAAATTACTATAATAATAATAATAATAATAATAATAATAATAATAATAATAATAATAATAATAATAATAATAATAATAATAATAATAATAATAGGTGTTTTTTGGAATTAATCAAAATTCGAGGACTGAATAGTTATTTTAAGAAAGATACGGGGACCAACTGTAGTTACAGGATTAATAGGGGCTTTTTGAGATCTATAACATTGTTTGGGGTTATTCCGGTAATTATCCAGGCTCGTTGCACGTGCTGAACCGGCCAAGTTATTTCGGCTCACCAACCAACTTCTATTCATTATTTGACTTTTCCTTTTTTGTTTTCAATAAAAACCGGTTATTCACCGTTTGCCGGTTCAACTAATAATTATAAAAAAATATCAATAACATCTTATTATGAATAAAAAATACAATGTTTTTAATGAGTAACGTGTTTTTAAATATAGTAGAACGGTACTCGTGTAATGCAACGAGATACATTTCAATTTTAATGTTTTATTTTATTGTTTCTGTTGATGTTATAATACAATTTTATGTGGAAATCGAAAAAACGATATTGTTTTTATTTTTTTAATAAAATATAAATTTGAAGATATCATAAAATTTTGAAAAAACATACATCGATTTTTGTATCAAATTAAATGTTTAAAAGTTCTTGTTTTTTTATGTAATTTCTTTAATTCTATTTTTATTACTAGAATGGTACTCGCACAATGCAACGAGATACATCTTTTTTTTAATATTTTATTTTATTTTTTGTCTGTTGATATAATATGATTTATGTGGCTTTGAGAAAGATAATGTTTTTACTTTTAAATAAAAATAAATTTGAAAAAATATATTGATATTAATATCAAATTAACTATTTAAAAGCTCTTGTTTTTTATATACTTTATTTAATTTATTTTTTTATCATAATTTAATTTAGATCAAATATTGAAATAATTTATTTTTGGCTTAACAATAAATTTTTTATAAAAATAATGATTTTGTTAGAACTTGATAATTATCCTAATTATATTTTAGATTTTTTATATTTTAAAATGAGATGTTTATCCTCTATTTGATTATATTTATCCGTAGTTAGTTACACAAATTCAAACATGAAACTTTAATAAGTTGTATTCATGTTTAATTTACTTGTAATCTTGAATTTTAAGTAATATACATCAATCTACAATACTTCATGTATAAAAAATGGTTTTTAAGAATTTTTGTCAAATGATTTATAAACAGTATAGATAATAATATAATTCTTTTAAAAAGATAATATTTAGTATTTTGAATTCAATGATTATCATAAATATATTTTAGATTTTTTATATTTAAAATGAGATAATTATCCAGAATTTGATTATGATTATCCATAGTTAGTTACACTAATTCAAACATGGAGTTTTAATAAGTTGTAATATGCATCAATAAACAATATTTAATACATAAAAAATGGTTTTTAAGAGTTTTTATCAAATGATTTATAATATAATATAAATATATCTAATATAATATAATATATGAAAATAATTCATTTATATGTTTGTTATTATTAACTTAGAGATTTTCAATAACACTTTTATATTATCACTTGTTTACAAATTGCAACCATATTTTTTTGTTACAACAAAATGAAAATTATTATACATCCTAAATTAATTAATGTAGATGAATAAACTAAAATGACATTAATATCAAACTTAATTCGTCTCTTTATAAATAAAAATTGTAAGACCCGTGATTTATGGGTACATTTTTAGAATTGATGTATTGTTACGAGCCCTTGGAGGTCATACCTTGAGTGCAATGCATTGGGTCATAAGAGCTTATGGTATGGGCGATTCCTAGTAGAGAAAAGTGATGTCGGGAGCGAAACAGAAAATCCCTCTACTTATCCCGCTACTAGGCCACGGGAAAAGTCGCGCGACTCCCTGTTTCAACAAAACAGCTTTGTGGACGCGGACCACTTTGTCTGCAACTAAGGTTGCGGGAATGCCCAAATCGAGATACCCCCAATTTTTGAGCTAGGGTTTGCTCATCTTCAACCATTTAAGTTCTCTCTCGATTTTGGGTCTTTTTGGAGGTGATTTTAGAGATTTTGGGTGTTCTCTGGGAGCAAGAGAAATCTTAGCTGTTGAGGATTGAAGTCAACATTTTAGAGCTTTCGGTTAGGAGATTTCAAACTCTTGAAGAGGAAAGTTCATTCAGTATTTTGAGCTCTATTTTTAGGGATATTTGTGGATTTAAAGCTAGTATCAATGTTTGGTGCATTTCTAGACATAAAATGTGGTCTTGAGAAGATTCTTGAAGATCATTGCTTATGGGCATCAAGCTTTCACCTTTGGAGGCTAGAGTTGGGTTTGCAACCAGATTTAATTTAATCTAGCAAGATGAGTTCAAATTGATTTGTGAAAACTTTGTACATGCTAAAAATGTCTATTTTGGAGTCTTACGATATTTTATTAATATTCAACAAATGTGTTCATTATCAGAAAGGTTTATATCTCTGGTGCATTTGATTTTATAAATATTAAGAAATACATATATTGGGATTTTTGGATATATGTTATATAAAGTTTGAGGATTTTGATGATTTATTCGTCATATAAGGATTATTTGATGACAATGCATTTTGATATATTGCTGTTACGAATCATTCAAATAAGATGCATGATTTAGTTTTGTTGACTTTTGTGGTATTTTGGGTCATGATATGTATTAAATTATTAATAAATGCATTTCATTTTTTATTTGTGATTTAAGTAACATCTTTTCCTAGTTTTACTATTTTTATATTATATATGAAAACTGATTAAGCTCATTAGACGTTAAGTCTAGCCTTTTTTATTTACCGACATATGTATCAGGTCCTCGTTTAGGATTGTTACTAGCGACACTGTGTTGAATTAAGTGCTAGTTAGAAGCACGAGAATAATCTAGCCAATTTGTGACGTCTTTCATACTTTAAAGATAGCGATGGCTAATGGGTTTTAGTAACGTCCGCCCTTGAATATAGTCTTGTGTAATGTTCTGGAATATAATGTATTAATATTAAAACTTAAATTATCATTATAGGTATTCAACTGTCGGAACTCTGTTATTAGAAAAACAAGAAAAGGGGCAACAGTGGAGGTTTGTCAGTATATTATTGGTGGATAGGAAGTTTGAGAAATGGGATTCATTTATTTTCTCAATGGTCGTTTACTAAACTCTTACCCGGTAAGTACTTACCGAGTAATTTTCCTCACCAGATGAACATGACAAATGCCAAAAATCTTACCTGGTAAGAACGATGATAAGGATGGAGAGTCTTACGCGGTAAGCGAGGGTGACGACTCTTACCCGGGTAAGCGTTTACCAGGTAAATTGTTGCATAGAATACGTTTTGATGTACTACAATCTTACCCAATTAAATAAATTAAATGGCCCCTTAGTTAATTCCTATTTTGATAAACATTTTTAGACTATATGTAATGTGTTGACCAAGGAAAATTGAACGTTTGTTATATTAATCGATAAAATCATTATTATATGAAATAAGAAATGAAACAAATTTCGTTGTGTTTTGTCTTCATCAAAATACAAATTTATCATGAATTACCAAAAAAAAAAAAAAACCGTAAGATAATATGAAATCATTGTATAATTACTTATATATAGACGAATGATCATACGAGAATGAGAGTTAAAGTGAGAAGCGTAAAAAGAGATCTAAACTATTGATCACATTTAATCTCAAACCCACCATGCTGAATTTTGTTTGATACGGAGATTGATCAGGTGTATTTTGGTGCATCTCA